TTTCAGAGCCCGGGGCAGGATCGGGGCCGGGGTTCAGAGCCCGGGGCAGGGTCGGGGCCGGGGTTCGGAGCCCGGGGCAGGGTCGGGGCCGGGGTTCAGAGCCCGGGGCAGGGTCGGGGCCGGGATTTCAGAGCCCGGGGCAGGATCGGGCCCGGGGTTCAGAGCCCGGCCCGGCCCCGTGCGGCGGCCGCTCCTCCCGCAGGCCGCGCCCGCCTCCGCCGCGGCTGCGCGGCCGGGCCGGGCCGGGCCGGGCCGGGCCATGAGGGCGGCGGGGGCCGCTCGGGGCGCGGCGCTGGCGGCGGCGGCGGTGACCGCGGTGGCGCTGGCGGTGGCGGCCTGGCGGCGGGCCCGGCCCGTGCGGGAGGTGCTGTTCTTCCCCTCGCAGCCCTGCTGCATCGAGGCGCTGCTGGCCGAGGCTGCCGAGCCCGGGGCGCCCGCCCGGCCCTGCCCGTGCCCGCTGCCGAGCGGCGACACCGCCCTGAGCCGCCTGGTGCGCCGCCTCCTCTCCGCCCGCCGCTCGCTCGACCTCTGCCTCTTCTCCTTCTCCTGCCCGCAGCTCGCCCGAGCCGTGCAGCTGCTGCACCGCCGCGGGGTCCGCGTGCGGCTGGTGACGGACGCGCAGTTCATGGGGCTGCACGGCTCCCAGATCGGCCGCCTGCGCCGCGCGGGTGAGCGCGGGGCGCGGCCGCGGAGCGCGGGGCGCGGCCCCGGCCCGCGCTGAGCCGCGTCCGTGTCTCCGCAGGGATCCAGGTGCGCCACGACCAGCACAGCGGGTACATGCACCACAAGTTCGCCATCGTGGACCGGAGGATGCTCATCACAGGCTCCCTCAACTGGACCACCCAGGCCATCCAGAACAACCGGGAGAACGTGCTGGTGGTGGAGGACGCCGAGTATGTGAAGGCTTTTCAGGATGAGTTTGAAAGGATTTGGGAGGAGTACAATCCTGCCAACTACAGGTTTTTTCCCGAAAGGCAGTAAATGATTGAGCTGCCTCACAGGGCTAGTGGAGCATGGTAACACCCACGGATTTTGTTATTATCACTGTTTTGTCCATCTGGGTGTAACTTTGGTAAATGTCTCCAGAGAAGCAAAGTGTTCTCTGGCCCAAAATGGCACAGATCCCTTGCTGTGGGTCATTCCCGTGCTAGAGGGAATGTCAAAAGCGTTTGGTTGTGCGGGTGACAGTGACAGAATTGCATCCATAGGCATTAAGACTTGGGGCAAGCTCGTTGCTGTGCCCTGGTGCAGACCAGGTGTGTTCATACAGTGCTGAGCGTGTGTTTCAGTGGTAAAAGGAACATTTTCCAGCTCAGGATATGGAATGGAATTACAGCCAATTCCAAGTGGAATTGTAGCCCAAGGGCTCCTCTACACTCATAAAGAAGGGAGAGATAAGAGGGCTACAGCAGAGTTAAGAGTTTCTATAGATTAAGTGCCTTGGTTACATTTCTTGTTGGCATTAAAGTTTAAAAGTTGGCATTAAAGTTTAAAAGTTATTGCAACTAAAGTAAAACAAAATTGGTGGGAAATAGCAACAATTTCTAGGTTTTGATTGTGTACATGTTTCTTTTGGTTGAAGGTTAGCAGAGCTGCTGTGTAAAACCATCGAGCACAGATGGTAATGACAGCTTCTCTTCCAACAAGGAAGTGTAGGGAAGTCTGGAAGGAAATGAGAGAAATGATTCTTTGGGATCAGTATTTATCTGGAGAGCAGACACAGCCAGAGCTGGGTCACCCACTTCAGGTGGGCTCTGGAAACCCTAGTTCCTTCAGGTTAGGACACCGTGTCATGGTCTGTGCCCTCGCCTGGCAGCACCAGCGTGGGGACAGCCAGGGGAGGGAGGTGACATCTCTGTTCCCACAGCCCAGTGTGGAACAAAGATGATGTAAACCTAAGAATTTCAAACTTGAAATTGTGTCTATGTAAGAATTGTTTTATACTGAATAGAAAATGCTTTAATATCTCTCAAAATGAAAAGAGATTTTTATATTCTGTTACTAATTTTGTTACCAGTAGTGCTGTGACTGGCACTGTTAAATAAACCATTTTCACAGAAAACATCAACAGCCTCATCTGACTTTTGAATTATAATTCCTGTAGATCCTTATTAAGATATTTATGATATATGGACATCCCCAGATTTTATATTTGTTCTGAGAAAGTTTGCATGGGGGAAAGAAAATTATGTTACCTGTATGGAAGTATATAGGGAAGGTCATTCTCCAGTAAATCCCATTCAGGAGCACTAGATTTAAACTGCTTAAAATATATTATTGCTGTTGAAGTGTTGCCTGTTTACATTTCCTATGTGAAATGCAGCCATAAAAACAAACATCCCTTTTCATGCTCTGACCTCTGCCCTGTTTTTCCTTCTTTTTAGAAATATAAACCTGTTACACACGGCATGCAAAGGGTGGTGCAAAAATAGTTTATTACCATATAGTTAATGTAAAGTTAAGTAATTATATTTACAAAGTAAAAATGATCAGCTACATCCAGGGGAGCCTAGCACGTCATACAAGGTTTGTAAGGAATAAATACAGTGAGAAAAAGTGACGTTTCTATTACAGCAAGCAGTTGATCAGGAATGGTGGCTCTTAAAAAAGCACTGGAATAAACTGGGAGTGGAAGGGAGAAGGGAAGGAGACAGGAACTCACACACATGGAGAAACAGGAGCCTCCCACAGCCTTCCCCTTTGCAAGGGAAAAGAATGATGTGTGAGAGCCCTGAGGCTGCAGCATCCCAGCACTGCCGGTCCCTGCTCGGCCACAGCTGGAGCTGAGGGCTGGCTGCTGTGTCACATCATCACAGCAACAGCTCTGGGCCAGGACTCCCTCACCCTCAGTGCTCACAGTCCCCCTGGGCTGTTGCCAGGCACACGTGGCAGGGCACAGTGCCCAGATGTGACCCAGAACGAGTCCCCATCGTTGGGCAGGCGGGTGAAGCTCTGCCAGGACAGAGCCAAGGCCGAGCTGTTCCCAGGCCACTGAGGAAGAGTGGCCATGAATACCTGAACTGCCACATCACACACCACCCTCAGCCTCACAGAGCTTCCTTCCCTCCCTTTCCCCAAAACCTCCATCCTTCCAAATGATTCTTTCAACCCTCAAGTCATCCAGAACTCCAGGAAGGTGGACACGGGCCAAGCCAGAGGATTCCTGCTTCCTACTTACCATAGTCTCCAGTATTTTACATGCTTTGCTTTCTCTAGGGGAGAACAAACAGTGAGCCCTCCTGTCCCGCACATGGGATGAAGAAAGCATGAAGAAAATAATGCTAATTACACCCATTATTCACGAGTTCAGAGCCAGCTGGGTTAGTCCAGCTGGTACCAACTTGTCAGGTTTCTCTAGTAAATCCCACACCCTCTGTTTCCTCAGCAGCCTTGCACTGAGGTTGTTGTTTCCCCGTGTCTGCAGCAGTGCCTTGGCTCTTGCTGCTGCAGTTCCACTGCGTTTAAACACACACAGTGGGTTACAGCTCGTGGGATGGGGGTGTGTGCAGGGGGCTGTGGCTGGCAGGGAGTTGTTGCTGCTCTCTGGAACAACAGGGCACAGTTTGCACATGCACAGCGTTGATGCTGCTATCAAACACAAGATTATGGAGTCCTCTGACTTGAAAAAAAATATCCCAAATCTACAGCAAAGTAGGCTACAGTGGTCAAACAGATTGTACACAATCTTCAGACAGGTACCCTCAAAGCTGAAGGCATAGAACAGCAGAAAAGGTTTGAAAAGGTATTTGTAACAGTCCTCAACCTCCCAAAAAAAGCAGTTTATCAGGGCAGATGGGGTGGGTTGGACACATTACACTCTTTCCTCCTCTCCCAACCCACACGTGGGGCCTCTGTGCTACAACAAGCCTTAAAAATCAAACCCACAGCTCAGTCACAAAAAGAGAACCCTCTGCAAACTGCTGAGGAATAAATATTTACACTGCACACTTGGAATTCTATACAGGTATTAAATTACTTTTGTTTTTAAAAAAGAGTAAGAATAAGAAAGCTTTCCTTTACCTAAAAATGAGAAAAAATACAGAGCAAAGGCAGACCACAGCGAGTGTGCATGTGCTTGAGTGTCCACAACAAACTGAGTATCCAAACCAGGACAAATATGTGTGGAAGTGCCATCAAATAGGGTAAGCACAAAATGTGAGCACTTCTACTGCAGCCCAGCTCTCTGCTACCAAAATAAAAGGGCATTTTCTGGTTTGCAAGCCAGCACCAATTCTAAGCAGTTCTATTTTTGAAACAAATTAACACAATTTACTTCTTTTTTTAATACATGAAAAAAGGTGACATTTAAAGAAGGATTCAGTCTGGCTCAGGGGAGATGATGCAAATGGGAGGAAAATTTTACTCGGGGAAAAAGAAGATTACTTGGAGCCAACAAGGCTCCAAGACCTGTGCCTTTGCTGCACTCGAGTTTTCCTAAACCTCCCTTTTTGGTTCTATCAATAGTGTGGAGTGATGCAGCATGCAGCAGCTTGCCCACACATTGTCTAATTTAAATAGCCACTGATTAATCCCAAAAGATGGATGAAGTCAGGAGCAGGAAGAAGCAGGAGAATAACTGAGGATCATTGCTATGAATTAAAGGACTTCTCCCTTTATTTTCAAGTACTGGGCTCTGCGGGAGTATTTCAGTTTGGGGCTGTTTATTGGTGCTGCAGGTTCTTTTTCTTTACAGTAAAGGCAGGTAAAGTGCTGTCCCCCCTTGCCTTGGAGAGATGCTCAGACTCACCAGAGTGAGCCTGGAACCCTCAGCAGGAGTTCAGAACATTTGGCTGCATAAGGGACCTTCCTCCCTCCTCTTCCTCTCAGTGACCCCCAGAATTCACAGCTCCCACCCTAAACACACCCCAAACATCCTTCCCAAGCACTGCCCCAGGGGCGCAGCTGATCCTGGTGAGGTCAAGGCCACTGCTCAGCCCTGTCTGTACAGCAGACCAAGATTCTCCATTTATTTTTCCAAAGGAGCCCAACTCCCCATGGAAACATCTGCTCCTACAAGCTGGAGCACATGAGCAGGATTTGCTGGGGAATCTCAGAAAGGGCAGGGTCCACATGGCAAGAAGGAGACCAGAATGTTCTGCTAAAAAGGGAAAAGTCCCATCCCAAGTCTGAAGAGGAGGAGGAGGAGGGTTCTCCTAGAGCCAGTGACATCCTGCAAGGGAGGAGCAATGACAATGACAATGACAAGGCCCACGTGCCATCCCAAATCCAGGCTGCCTCCCATGGCCTCTGCCAGGAGATCAGAGCTCACCAGGCAGCCAGGGATAAAGTGGCTGGAGAGGTGATCCAGGTGGGACAGGTAGGAACACCCCAGGTTCTCCAGAGCCCAGATCATGGGAGTGCTGAGGTGAACTCAGATGCAGTGCCTGGCTGCACACCCACACCTGAGAGCACTGCTGATGAGGGAAAGGCTTTGTGTCCAACAGGTTGAGCATCTTTCCTACCCTGCTCCCACCTCCAGGCCCTCCAGGCACACCCAGGCACGTGGAGCATCCCAGAACAGCTGCTCTGCCCCCTGCAAGGTGCTGCCATCCTGCCTGGGGACAAGCAGGGCTCCTCTGGGCAGCACCAGCTGCCAAGTGCTGCTGTGAGGTGCCAAGCTGGACACTTGGCCATGGCAAGGCCACACAAGCTGGACAAGAGCCTGACTCCCACCGTGGTTCAGTAACACATGTCCTGCTGAGGGTCTTGTGGCTGGAAAAAAGAGATTCTGCTCCCAGGAGGATGAAGAGAACTCCAGCAGCTGCTCTGGTGCAGCCTGGCAGGACTGGAGGTGGCTTCACCAGTCCCGTGGGGCTCTGAGAGCTGTGTCTGTACCACCACCAGACCCAAAACCAGCAGGGAAGCACTGGGAGCTGCTGGCTGAGTGCCTGAAGGACAAGAGGAAGCTCTGCTCCGGATGAAGGCCAGGGAATCTTCCACATCCCAGCCAGGCTGGGAAGCCAACGTGCCAGTCTCCTTCAGCCCTGGTGACCTTCCAGGTGGCATCTTGAGATTTATCCAGGGATGAAGCTCCACACCTGCAAAGCAGCACAGGCTTCTTCTAGGAAGCCTCTGCTCAGCTAGCTGTGACCATGTAGTGCTACCAGCTCCTCATCCCTTGGTTTGTATGCATTTATCTGTCTCATGGTGCTAAATTGTATGTTTTAAATACAGAAGCTATTAGGACTGGTTTTGAGATCTTTATTTCAGGAAAAGATTAAAGAATTAAAATAGGAGCTGCCCTGCTGACAAGAAGAGTTGAATTCAAGAAGCTGGTAAAAAATGAGCATTATATGCATTGAGCACTGTGCATTTTCAGTCAATATTGGCTCTACTTTCTACTCTAGTTTCCTTTCACTAGGAAAAGGGAGTTTCACATGCGCACAGACCCTGGGAT